GATATTTATTGATTTACCAGTATGACGCAAACTGAATCTATTTTACATTTTTTTATGTTTAAAAGTTACTAGGTAACTTTTTTCTTCTTCTTTTAAAAAAGGAGCCCCGCTCGGCTCGTTTTTTTACGAACGGCTCATGGGCTCGTCCAAAAATCTTTTTTTAACAAGGCTTATCTTATTAATATATAAAAAAAATTATCCGAGCCACGACTTAAAGCTCGGCTCGGCCCACAAGTCGCACATGAACCACGAGCTCGGGTATTTATAACGAGCTCAGCTCGTGCTCGTGGGTCAATGGGTTGAGCCGGCTCAACTCGGTCCATTGACACCTCTAATCGATGATGTGAAAGGATTGGACAGTTCAATTTTTATGACAAAGAGGGGGAGGAGAGAGAGATAAATGTGAGGGATAATGTGTTGCCGCATGTTTTATTGTCACGATAAATAGCGTTACTCCATTTTTTTCTCTTTTACAAGTACCAAGGAATTTTGATTCCTATCTTCTAGACTTCACACTAGAAATGGGACACAAATGAAGTCACACAAAAGAGTGCTAAAAGAGGTTTTGAGTTCCCTTGAGGTGCTATTTTTGTAAATTTCCATATATGATGACAACAACAAAATTGACCCCTTTGAATTGTCGCTCTAGAAAAGAAAAGAAAAGAAAAGAAAAAAATAAAAATAAAAAAATGTTGGCCTACGATTCACCTCTACCTAAATGAGATCCCATTTAATCATTATATAAGACAAATAGTCAAAATATGGAATATGTCATTGCATATTCCTTGTATTGAAGTAGTTTTCAATAAAACAAAATAATTGCGTTATTTTTATTATTAACCTTCTTCAAATTGTTGTACTACGGGACAATCGGGTTTGTTTTCAATGTAATTATCCAAGACGAGATTATAACTCCAGACGTGAAGAATAAAATATAAAAAAATTTTCTTTGATTAATTTCGAAGCTCTCCCATTTCATACACACAAAAAGAAATAAATTTAAATTCATTAAAAATTAGTAAAACAGATAAAAGTTGATGAAATGATTAAAAAAAATGTTAAAAGTTGTTGGAGGCCAAACATGAACTTAGTATAAGCAATTTTGCTCACTTTTTCGCCAACAGTTCGTCGTGAATTAAAGTCTACGAGTGTTGGTTAAATCCAACCGATTCATTCCTAATTTTTGTATTTTTATTTATTTAATTCTTTTTTATCCCCCATTCGACATCAATCTAGAGGTACTAAGTGGGACGAGTCGCTAACAAGCTGAGCAGCAAATTTCTCGTCGCAAATTTGTCTGCTCGTGTGTGAGGCGACTCATCATAATAAGTAAAATATGTCATTTCATAAAAATACATAAATTACGTGAGTCGCGAACAACTAATCCCACCAAGGTCGAGTCGAGCTATGTGATAGCGAGTTGAGAACTTGATTCACCCCATATAAGACCCGTACCTCAGATGAGAGATCCGATTTTTGATACTTGCACATGTTTAAATTTTCACTAACAAATTCATTGTGTAATATGGACCTCTCATTTCATTCTTCTTTAATAGTGGTCCAAAAATGCACATGGGCTCTTGATCAAAATTTGTACGGCCACGAGAACATGTTCGTGCACCCAAGAGAATCTGATTACAATTTCAATAAAAGTTTAAAAAGAAAACAAGAAGTGGAAGTCCATTAATAATATTTAAACTGCCTAATTGACGTGCTAATTTCTTATTAAACTAGTTATATTCGATTTATAAATAAAATAAATTATTTTGTGTCCTCGTCGGAATATTTTTAATACATTTCCAATATCACACAAAAATAATTTACGGGTTAGTCAACTACATTCCTTATTTAAATATTCATCCTAGTACTCTTATACTAAAAAGCCAATTAATAGTTCATTTAGTTCCACGGGGATTGTTCACAGAACAATTAGAGTCCGTTTGATTGTAAGAATGAAATTGTCTAGAACTTATTTTACTGAAAATTGTCAATTAATTGTGTTTGATTGGTATAATTTTTCACCTAAAAAATATTGAAATTTTAGATCTTTTGGTGTTCGTTTGACTTTATTTTCCATGAAAATTATCTATTAAAGGGATATAATTTGTTTTTATTGCAAAAAAAAGCCTAGAAAACCAATTCCCACCAAAGTGGTGGGAATTGATTTATCTCAAAAACCAATTCCTCGGCCATGCCTCGTTGTGTTTTTAAACCTAGGGTTCATGCAATCAACTATTTCGAAAGCGAACCGCTTCCTCCTTAGAGAACCCCTTCCTCCTTAGAATCAACCTCCTTTAGCCATCTCAATAAGCAGAGCTCCTGCATCAATAAAAGAAATTATTCCCCATGTTCATGGAAATAATGTGTCATCCAATGAATTGAACATTTACATTGGTCTCACTTTACGTTGGGGAGATCTATAAATATAGATAGTGTCTTTCTCGTTACTAGTATACATATTATATTGTTGAAGCGATATAATCTTTAACATTAAATTGAATACGACTAAGTAAATAAAAAATATGCAGCAACAAAGGCAAAATACATGGTGACTCAACCAAGTGGGACAGACCAATCGATCAATGCTCCCTCATTTTCTAAATTGACAAGACTAAATTATTCTATCATTATTATGAATAATGAATAGATTTATAAACCTTCCCCAGATAATATCACTAACAAAATATTATTTATAAGCCTTCCAGATAATATCATTAATAAATTTTATTATGTAACACTTGCAATAATTATTCATCATCATTTTGGGGAAAAAAAAAATTAATGTGAGAGAAAAAATAGACAATTTTCATAAATCTTGATGGATAAATAAAGGCATTCATTACTAGTGTCGTTCGATGAATCGAAATTTGTGATTTGATGAATGATGTCAGTAAGGAAAACTTTAGTTTAACTTAAATTTTGACGGTGAAAAGTGATTAATAATGATTTTTATTTGTTTATGAGTCGAGTCTAATCACTTGAGAAATAGATGTTGAGTTACTTTTCACGATATCGCAACTCAAAAGATAAAAATGATAGAAAGTATGTAGCGAAACTAATTAAGATAATTAGGTGATTAAGATTGACAATTTGATGAGTGATGGGCTATTGCATAGTTGCATGAATAATAAACATACGACCCACATAACCCTTTCGGGGTGGTACTACTACTTTTTATATAATTATTAGGGAAATTGCAATAGCGGTTCTTAATCTTTTTAATTTTTTTTTTCAAAATTTACCCTAATTTTTAATTTGTGTCAGTGGAGGTCCCTCACTTTTAATAAATATACACCTAGAGTCCATCTGGATGGAAATAGTCCATGAAACCGTCAGTTGACCAAGAAAATTGCACTTTACCAAATTGAAAGGGGTAAAATGGTAACTTTGTATATTTATAAATATTAACAATTAAAATAATAAAACTAAAGAAAAAAAGAAATTTACCCCAACACCTCCACACCCTATCTTCATATTCTCTAATTTCAAAAAGCAAGGCCGAAAAAATCATGGAGGCAAGTCCATCCATGAATTTACCGAACAAAAAAAAAAAAAAAAATCTGGACAAGAAATTGAAATTTGAAATTGGAATCAGAAACATATTCCAACCATTCTTTCTTTCCCTTCGTTTTCTCCAATTTTTTCTCTCCTCTTATAGCCCAAAAATTTAGACTCCCAGAAGAAAGAAAAGAACTCAATTGGGGTTTCGAAGTATGATTTTATGTGGCAAACTCCTTAGGAAGGTGTGAAAATTTGAAGGTTGTTGAGTGAATATATAGGTGAAGTGGGGTTTTTACCAACCTTGAAATGATTTTTTGGTTGGGGGTGGTTCGAAATGGGGTTTGGCGATGGTGGCCGTATCCGTGGTCGTGGGTGGTGAGGCAACGTGTTGGTAGATGTCAATAGTTGGCCATGGCTGAAAATCAATGTCGTTGGTCGGAGAAGATGAAAATAGGGAGTGGGTGGGGGTGGTGTTCGGGTAATTTTTTTTTTTTAATCTTTTAGTTTTATTATTTTAATTGTCAATATTTATAAATATACAAATTTATCATCTTTCCCCTTTCAATTTGGTCAAAATTGGTTAAAATCCACTTTTCTTGATCAACTAATGTTTTCATCATGGACGGTTGCCATCCAGATGGACTTCATATGAATATTTATGAAAGGTTAAGGACCTTTGCTAGCATAAATTGAATATTATGGTAAAGTCTACAAAAATTAAAAAAGTTAGGAACTGCTACTGAAATTTTCCCTAATTATTATAATAGGTAAAGGACAATTATAATTAAAAAATGTCCAAGCTGCCATCTATTAGTAATTACAAGAGTAATTGAAGAAATCATGTTTGGACCTCCTGCCGTAAAAGTTATACATATCATTAGGAGGTATGAAAATGCAAAAAGTAATTTATATTTTTTATAATAAAATTCCATTATTGCGTCTACGGTCTACCAATCCTTCGATTCCACATACGTGTCCCATGAAATAAAACGATTGCCACCTCTCTCTCTCGAGTGCCATTTGTTTAGTATTTTTATATCGTCCCTGTAAATGGCTGCTGTTGGACGAGAAGAAGAGAATATAGATGAAAAGCTGAACACTTGCATGCAATTGTGACAGATAAAGATGCAGACTTTCTCTCTCCGCGTGTGTGTTCCTCTCTCAAACTTTGCACCAAATCAAAGCCCAGTTCAAAATTTTGCGAACAGAGAGCAAGGGAGAAAGAAAAAGGGGTTTTAGTTACAGGGGGGTTTAAAAATCGAATCTTTTTGGTACATATACTAAATTCTTGAACTTTTGTATTTCCAATTCTGGTTTTTGATTTTGTTCTTTACAAGTTTTTACATTTTTTTGTTGGTTTGTGTAAATTAGTTTGTGGGATTGAATTGGGTTTTGAGTTTGGAAAACTGAATTGTTGATATTTGGAAGTTTGCGAGCTGGATTCTATATCAAGATTTTGATTTGCATCGGTTGAATAAGCTATTCTGAATCAAAAGAGAATGGAACCTGGGTTGGAAATCGATGATGGCAATGAAACTAAGGGAGCCATATGGGTTTTGGACCAGAAGCTTGATCAACCTATGGAGGAGGAGGCTGGAAGGCTTAGAAACATGTATAGAGAAAAGGTACAATAAAATCCATTCCCTTTTAATGTATACTTAACTGCATACTCATTTATTATAAGTACCTTTAGGAGCTAGTAGCTTTTTGCGTTTTTTGATGATTGATTTTTTTTTTTTTGATTGCCAAGTGCTACAGAGGATTTTATGGAATGTTGATGATTGATGAATGATTATGCAATAACCCTACTGGATTTAAACAAACTTTAGCTAGTTTCTATAGTTCACCTTTAAGTGAATGACACGCTTTTGACTATTTAATAGTTTCGTGTTGTAGAGTTTATACAGTGGAAGGGAAAAACTTTGCTTGATTGAATTTGTTGCCTTATGACTGCATGATGTAGGTATAGATAATATATTCACTAATGAAATTCAATTTTTGTCTTTTTTTACTTTTCTTCAGCTTCAAAAAATTTCGAGCAGTATAGCAAGTGACTGCTTATCATAGTGTTTCTGATATTTTCACTGCATAATAGGATAATTGTTCGGAATCGTAAGTGCTTTAGTCCTAGAGTGAGGCAGAAGATAATGAGACAATCTTATTCAGGATGATGTTGTAACATTTCATAGTTTGATTTTATTGATGCAGAAATTCTCGTCTATATTTCTATTGCGGCTTGCCTTTCAGAGTCTGGGAGTAGTTTATGGAGACTTGGGAACTTCTCCATTGTATGTGTTCTACAATACTTTTCCCAAGGGAATAGATGATACAGAGGATATTATTGGTGCTCTTTCATTGATTATCTATTCGCTTACGCTAATACCTCTCCTCAAGTATGTTTTCATAGTATGTAGAGCAAATGACAGCGGTCAAGGTAAGCTGATGTCACGGTACAAACTTTTGTGATATCATATGCATATTTCAATAACTAGGTTATGAGATTGTTACTTCTAACACATCGTCATTGTTAGCCTTAATTGTACCTTGTAATGAATACTTCTGTCTGTTTGCCTGCGACTGTGAATGGTAAATTTGTTGACGTTAGCACTAGTGGAAAGACATTCTTTAATTGGCTGAGAAAGAGTGTTTTATTTCTTACTTGTATAATTCAAGGAACAGTTCACAAATGAACTAGTAGGAAATGCCGCAGAATTTGCTCCCAAGAATCCAGCGTCTTGTATTTACTTCAATGACTTCTGTCCCTTTAATTTTTTTGTCAACCTCAAATAATAGTTACTAATACGGATAATTTATGGTTGTTGAATTATTGAAAGATTCTTGTCAGATTTTTTTCTTAAAGAATTAAATTAGAACATAGGTCTTGTAGTCTGCTAATTTATCCTATGATGGAATTTTTTCATGAACTATCAATACATGTTGATGTGGGGGCTTCAGAAGACATGGCATTAAAAAGGAATGACAGGAGGCTAATAAATTCATGGAATTGGGGCTGCATCATTACACTAACATAATGTCACATTTATTATCCTTAACTGTGGAAGATATGATTCTTAAAAGGGAAACGCCAGTATGTTCTAGGCATTATATTTTCGTACTGGAAATTGTGCTAGCTGTCATATGATTGATTGGTATGAGATCATGAGAAGTTGTTAAGTTGAGTTAGCCTTGCCGAATGACTTAAAAAATGAGTCATGGGGTTAATATTCTTCAGAAAGAGTACCCTGAAAACGACAATAATGTATGTTGAGATAGATTTAGAGCATAATTGAAAAGTGAAAGGAACTGAGATTGGATTAATTTGACCAAGAGTTCTAATTATTTTTCCAAATTTCTTTCCTTTTCGCTTGTGGGTGTGCATATAGAAAGATGAGAAAGAAAACAAATTTAACAGTGTGGCTTTATTCAGGGGGGACCTTTGCACTTTATTCATTACTTTGTCGACATGCTAAAGTCAAAACAATCCCCAACCAACACCGCACGGATGAGGACCTGACAACTTACAGTCGTAGCACATTCCATGAGCTTTCATTTGCAGCTAAAACCAAGCGATGGCTGGAGGCAAATACATTTAGAAAGAATGCCCTTCTTATACTAGTACTTGTTGGCACTTGTATGGTAGTTGGGGATGGAATTCTCACTCCTGCTATATCAGGTAATTTATGTTTTTCAACTATTGTTTCCCTTATTCATGCTTGTCATTTTCATGTTAATTTTCCAACCGACTTTTATTGCGCCCAAGCATGTATGCCTTCCTTGGAAGCAGTTCTGTGTATGTAGTTGGAGATTGTGGTTTACTAGATGCTTGTTACTTCAAATTTAAAGTAATATGTACACAATGCCACATTTCCTTTTCTCGGTGATGCATGTGACACTGTAGAATTATATGACATTTGTTTATGGATCTTCCCTCCAAAAAGTGAACCAAAGAGGAGTGAAATTTTGTTCGTTTTCTCCAACAATGGCAACATATGCCAATATCTCAATTATTTGCATAAAATTAACACCATTTTCTAATTTTGAACAATCATCAAAACACAATCAAAGAAAGTCATGTTTTTCTCCACTATTAAGAATCTATGTATAGGATTCATGGTTTGCAGCCCCAGCAGAGTTAATTAAATTCACCATACTTTCAGTTCTAATTTGGACAACGAGCATTCTTTTGAAATCACAAACAACAGATGTTGCCATGTCTGAAATCTTATTGGTGCTTTAGCACAAGATGATAGTCTTTTTCAGCCATAGGGATTTTGACTGTTGGTTATCAACCATGATCAATTTGTTATTGCCACTTGCCAGCATTGACTCTTGATGAACAGATCAGGTTATAAGGAGCATATTTGTATAGCCTTTGATAGGAGTGTAAAAAGGATTAACATGTTTCAAGGGGATGTTCATGTGGTAATTTGCTGCACTCCTCCACACCCCCATCCCCCACCCCCCCAACACCCAATGCACTCCATCAATTGGGATTCTGACTTTGGTACTTGCTTATTTACATAAACCAAAATTCCTAAGAGAGAGGTTGAGCTATGCCACAAGAATATTTCAATTGGAAGCTTAGTAAACACTTCATTGTAATAAATGCATACGTGACTAGGCACAAGCTGATGCCTGATCTTAGAACCCACAATAGGGATCACAAAGTAGTATTAATATAATAATGCATAATTTAGGAATTTCTCCTGCTCAGAATTTTTGTTGCAACGGGCTTAAGTAGTCTGTGTATTCAGAATCAGATCCATTACAATCTTATCCTTTGGAAATCAAGTGAAACAGAATGGGAGCAATTTTTTTGGGCTTATTTATTTTGTTTGAATGTAATTTTGTATTACTCTGATGTTTCAATCATCCTTATTCATTGTTATGAAATTTTTCCTCAGTTCTTTCTGCTTCTGGTGGGATAAAGGTGGACCATCCAAAGATGAGTAATGGTACTTATCTACTCCATTCTAATAGTGTCTGTATTTCTTTCTGGAATGGACACCATTCTAATTGGTTTTGATCTTTCATTGCAAGACTAAGATTGTATCATTTGCTGCAGATGTTGTTGTAGTTGTTGCTGTAGTCATATTAGTAGGTTTGTTTAGTATGCAACATTATGGTACGGATAAAGTCGGTTGGCTGTTTGCTCCAATTGTGCTGCTTTGGTTTCTCTTAATTGGAGGTATTGGAATCTTCAACATATGCAAATATGATAGTTCTGTTCTAAAAGCCTTTTCACC